GGTTGGACCGGATCGGTTGTGTGTCCGGGTCACGGTTCGATCGGTCGGACCGTCCGGTCCGGTCCGGGTTTAAAAATACTGTTTGCAAGTGGTCGACTGGTCTAGCGGCCATAGTCTTTAGCCCAGTTATCCGTTTAAAATATATAGCCTACGGTCAGTGACCCATTTAACTCGATTGTTCATCTAATTTCTATATCCAACGACTCGAAGTCCTTTAAGTGTTCAATTTTTTTCAAGGGAAGAGAGTTCATTTGTAAGTGGTCGACTGATTATTTTCAAAATAGCCTGATTTACATCGAAAGTTGAAGAGAAAAAAATAACTGGTATATAAGCTCTTGAATTGAACTAAATAACTGTTCAAATTAATTATTTTAATGTGGTTCAATCCAAGTATCTAAATATCTTATGGCTTACTCTAGTGATTCCTACACATTCTAAATTCTTTCAATTAACTTATTGCTAATAAGCAGTTTTTAACTTAGAAATTGCTTATTAGTTAAATATTCTTTTATGAAAATAAAATGATTTTAATGAGAGGTAAGTCATTTGGAAATATTTGTAAAAAGGGAGTGATAGTTTTGTAAATAATTAGTCAAACAAAAAACATCAAAATTGACTCAAAAGTAAGTAGGTAAGATCTACTTGTTTTTTGTTTATAAACATCCTATAAGTTAGTGACATTTTAAAGTTTAAATTATGTGCGTATGTTTTAATCCCGATTTATCCCAAAACTACTACCAAACCATCATGAACAACACCGAACCAAAATTTTGGGATTAATACGACGTAAATCCCATACCGAACCGAAATATTTGGTACGATATCGATACATGCTAAATATTGTACCATACAATACTACGCTCACTCCTAATGATGGTGTAAATACCGTGTAAATATAAAGTACAAGTAAGCGGAAGGGCTTAGGTGGAAACACTTATAATCCGGTCTGTTATTCACGACAATGAGACTGTTTACAAAGTACAAGCCGTGTGAATTAATTAAATCTTGCCTCACAAGGAGACTTTTAATCCTATTTATAATAATAAAGATTCACAAAAATGATAAGCACTCAAAGTACATTATAGAAACGATTGGGAGAGAGGAATTTTTTTAGCCAAATACTATCTTCGTCCCATTGTTTTTGTCCAGTTTTGACTTTTGGAAATGTTCATCTAAGCACTTTGACTCATCAAATTCTCTCAATGTGTAAGCCTAAAAATAGTCATGTGTAATCTTGTTTGATTCGTCTTAACATATAGATTATTAATATATAATTTTTATAATTTTTTAATATACAAATTACAAAATAAAATGGATTAAAGAAGTGCATTAGATGGTGTACCAAAAGGTAAGTGGACAAAGACAGTAGTACAAAGGAATTACATTGTGTACTATACGAATTAAAAAAAAGGGTTTCATACTCTTGGTATTTTTGTGACGTGGGACGGTGCGGCGAGTATCAATCATCTTAAAATATCCTACTACTATAATACACTCTTACCCGAGCGAGCTAGCTAGGGAGGGAGGGGGGTAAGTCACGTGATGGATGACGATAAAAAAAGAAGGAAAAAAACACCCCAGACGCCACCTCGGACTTTGGGCCATGGACCTACTACGATTGGTCCTACGCCAATGCTTTGACGTCATCCCGCCGTCGACAAGTTCGAGAGAAATCTCAGACCACGACCTTGGGTTACGTTCCCACGCGCGCCCTCCATCGTTGATTCCCACGCGCGATGCGTTTCCCATCTGAGTATTAGGAACGCCGTGACTGGTGGCGGCGAGGCCCGCTCCAAATTTGAAAGGGGGACGGCGGAGTTGACGTGGAAGCATGTGGATGCATCGGTACTGGCACCACCCCTCTGGCGGCCGGCCCCTATTTGCACTGTCCATTTCAATGGAGGGGAGGGGAGGGGAAGGGAAGAGAAGGGTGGCCCCCAGCCTGGACCGTCACTATTCATCATACATACGTAGTACATAAATCTCCGGACCCACGATGTGCCCCGTCATTTTATATCTCCGGCCCAAAAAAAGACATATTCTCCCGTTCTACAAAATCTTCTCCTTTCGTTTTTTTAATTTTTTAAAAGACTTCTACTTTCTATTAAAAAACTATTTTTACTCTTACTTTTTCATATCCTACCTATCACATCATACTTTTTCTCTAATGACCAAACGATCACATCTTACTTTTACCCATCATCACATCAAGGGCAAAATTGGAAAAGACAATCAAAATTACACTTTCCTTATTTTTGCCAAAAATCAAAATTGGCAAGGTTTAAAAGAACGGAGAGAGTAGAATTTATCTATATGACACCAAAGTATAATGAGTCTTGGTATTATATGTTTTAAATCTCAATGTAATATTACTATTATTTAATGTTCACTGGACATTGTTAAAGCGAATTTCACCGTTACTGGATATTGTTCAACTAAATATCTACTGTCACTGGACGTTATTTCCGTAAATAGGCATTGTTCAAGTACTATTTAAGAACAAAAAAATTGATTCATGCTAGGTGTACACCATTTGGTCTACTCAATTTGTACACCATTGATTATAACCATTGAATTTTTATTCATTTCTATTTTTTTCACACTTGAGATTATGTGATAGAGAAGGAGCTAGTGGTGTTCATTTTAGATACTTCCACCGTCCCCAATTAGATTACACTTTTTTATCTCCTCTCGATAACTTTTGTTTATTTACGCGACCTCATTAAGTATTTGATGAAATAAAATACATTCTCTCCGTCCCAAAAAGTCTTTCCTGTTTACTATTATGGCCTCTCGATAATTCTTATTTGTTTGCGTGTTTTCATTGATCATTTGAATTTTTGGTTGAGTTGGTTCTTTGATATGGTATCTGAACGTTGTTGACTAAGAGTTCACGAATTTCAAACTCAATGCAACCTAATTTTTTTAGAGTAATGTTAGGAGTACACTAAAACGTGTACCCCTTTTGTACAAAATTCATTCTGATTGTACATTATTTATTTATTTATTAAATTTTTTATATCAACACTTAATTGTGTGGTGGAGATGTTTTGGGGTACATATTTTGGTGCACCCCTAGCATTTTTTATTTTTTATAATAAAAAATTTAAATTTTTGGTTGAGTAATTGAGTTGATTTTTTGACAATCATTCTTCTTAGAGACATCAATGACATTTGTCAATGTTCAATGTGTGCAAAGATATGTAAGATGTACACGATATTGGTATACGCCAATGTGTTACAAGCACATACACACAACATTTGTCTGTGTGTTGTTTGTAAGAATGAGAGCAGAGGAAATGGGTGCAACGCCAGTGGGCATCAAGCACAATTTTAACACCGGGGGCGTTAAACACCGCTCTCCTAAGACTTGAACCGGGCGTCACTCTCTCATCGCCAGAAGTTTGACGCACTCCCTCTCCCTTGTAACGACTAAATTAGCCGTTGGACCCTTAAAAAAATTCAATTATTATTTTTTATAAATTTCAAACTTCATCTCCAATTCTCACATCTTTCAATCTCTAATTCTCATCAATCTTCTCCACACCTTCAATTCTCCAGTTGTCCAATTCTCTTTTCAACATGAATTCATCCGACTCCGGCTTTTTCCCCGATGATCACGAGCCTAACGAGCACGCCATGTGGATCTTCCAACAATACAAGAGTAATCCAACGTTGTTCGAGACACAACCATTGCGGTACGTCTATGAGCGGGAGTCAGTTCCGGAGACTCAACCGGAACCATCCGGCACAAAAAAAAGTGCACGCCGGAAGAGCCACATAGCGAAAGGCACTCAAGCGATAACCGAGGTAGCACGGTTAGTCCAAAAGTGGACGCCGCGGGAAGAGTGCTTGTTGGTGTCAGTTTGGGTTGACGTTTCCGAGCATCATATCGTTGGTAAAAGTTATATGTTTTTTAATATATTTTTGTTTTTTATTTATATAATCGTGTTATATATTTGTGTTAAAAAAATTTCGTGTTATACTTTTTAAAGGTTTGGAGCAAACGAAGGATGCAATGTGGGATCCTATTGAGGAGAAGTTCTTTACGGCGATGAACAAGGACACCTCGTACCGTACTTGGGACCAACTCACTTCCAAAGGGGCCCACATCAACCGTAAATTCCGAAAGTTTATTGGAATTAATGAGGAATGCACTCGGTCCCGGAGTAGCGGGACGAACGACGCCGATGTTCTCCAGCTTGCCACGGCCTGGTAGCAAGACGACGGGCACCAAGGCAAGGTGCCCATCGATCTTTGGAGGATTTTAAGTCGTTCACCGAAATGGCAACAACTCAACAATTCCGACGCTGGATCCTCAAAGAAAAGATCCTCCGTCGACGCCGAGGTTGAGGTCGATGACATTATCGGTTCGTCCGAACAAAGGCCTCCCTTCAACGTTGCGGATTTCGATGACGAGGACCCCATTCCACGTCCGATCGGAAGAAAGAAGGCAAAATCCATTGCCTCGGGTTTTGGAGGACCCAACTTTGTTTTTGTTTCTTATCATGACGATATCGGTCGGGCAATGGTTGAATAGCTTCGGATGTTCAATATTCGAGAAGAAGAGGGTGAAAAGAAAGCAAGATAAGGAAGAAATCGGAATAATGGAAATCGACCTTGATACGTTATCGGGCTTCAAACGTATGATCTTCGAGAGAAGACAAAAAGAGATCAAGGATAAGGGGGTGTTTGTTTTTTGGCGAGAAGAGCTTTTGGCCTCTTTTGTCTGCGCCGCGCAGATGCTGAGCTCTGCAGATTGTTTGTTTTTTGGGAGACATTTCACTCAAAAAGGTCTTCCTGGCATCTTATTGGAGAAGACATTAACCTATGTCTTCTAACATCTCCTAACATCTTCTCCATTTTTTCTTCTACTTTTCTTCACCACCACCACCGTCCACCACCATCACCACCGTCCACCATCACTGCCACCGTCGTCCACCACCACCGCCACCGTCCACCACTACCCCCGTCCACCACCGTCCACCACCGTCCACCACCGTCCACCGTCACCTCCACCACCACCACAATCGTCCATACACCACCACTGTACACTACCACCATTAATTTATATAGCAGTTTACAGACATTAAAAAACAAACAGTCTTCTTCTTGCAGACCGCAGNGGGGTGGAGGGGGTACTCTTATTAGTTTTGTTTATTATGCATATAGAGATACACTTTTTTTTTTCTTTCTGCTCTTCATCTTTATATCTATATATATATATACATATGTACTCCTATATGTATCTTGGTTGGACCTTAATTAAGGGCACTTTCCATTCTCAAACTTTATGTTATTAGTCCCACATCTTATGCTGCTGAGGCCTGAGGGTACATGAATGGTCCTAGCCTCCTCTTCTTGTAGGGTTTTCCTTTTTCCCCTTGTTTGTAGACCTTGGATTTTCAATTTCTGTTTTTTTTATATAAAAGAAAATAGCTTTATCTTTGTGTTTCAACTTTAATGATTTTTTTTTGTCCTGGGAAACACCGAAACTGGGGACCAACTGATAATGTTTTCCTTTTTTTTTTAAATATTAAGCTTACAATTTGTTTTTTTTTAATAAAGAAAACTGTACCTGCATCTACAAGAACATACAGTATATGACTAGATTTTAAGCAGATGGTTTTGTTCTTTGGAATAAAAAAAATTTTACCTGAAAAAATTACAGTCCATGCTTATAATTTGTTAAAATTAAAGAAATCTAGATATTTTATTTATTTGTAAATCATTATGAGTCATATATATCTAGTCAATAAAGAAAAAACAAGATCTGCAAAGTTTCTCGGCAGTTCCAATATAAGTAAGGGTTAGGTCAGTTGTGGTAATAAGCTTTTGTTGCTTATATATATCATTCATACACTAAAAATATCATTCTTTAATAAACTGATTTTCTCTAAATTGGATCATTAATCTCTTTAGAGGGCTCCAATTTTTGTATAGCTGGGTACATTAAACGTTTAAGAACATTATTATTAAGCTATTAATTATTAAATTTGTTTGTTTTTTATTTAAATTTTTGTGGACAGTATTTAGATGAGAACAAATCTTTGATTCTGAAGATTGTGGAGAGCCAAAACTCAGGCAAACATGCTGAGTGTGCCGAGTAAGTATATATTTGTCCCACAATTTTCCTCACAAAATGAGAACAAATTAAATAACGGTAGGGTTCTAGTGATACCAGAGTACGGTGACACTCCGGTGTCACTGTCATTTTGGAACACTTAAAATTGACGGTTCCTATCTCTCTAACCCATCCCCTAAACCCCCACCCTACCCCTGCTCCTGCGCCTCACCCCAACCCTGCTGTAAGCTCCCTTACAAAATGTGTGGTTATTATGTAAATAATTGTATTTGGTTATTTAATTAATTTTTGAAAGGCTAGGCTAGGCAGTGTATATTTATTATATTTGCATGTGTGTGTGTGTATATATATATATATGTATATATATATATATATATGTATATGTGTGTGTATATATATATATATTAAAAAACTAGAATTAAAATATAAGATTCCTTTTAAATATGTGACAACATCCATGTCAGGAACCAAGCCAGGCTTCAAAGGAACCTAATGTATCTAGCTGCAATTGCTGATTCTCAACCCCCACCTCTCACCATGCATTCTCAGGTACTACTTGCAACAGTAATTTAACTTTTTTTCTTTGGATTATTATATTGTTTGACTCTGAACCCAATAAAAAGATGAATTTTTTTTGGAAGGAATTGCTTTACATAAAGAAATTTGGATCAAATTTGGATCGGGTGTCACCACATGGGCACTACTATGAGTGCACCCATGATTCGCACAGACAAAGTGTGTGGGTTCAAGTTTAAAACTTAAAAGTTTTCTAATCTCGTGTGGTGGGAAAAGTATATTAGGGAGAGAAAAATAATGAAGTTACAATTTTGCACATATTTTAATCTCTCGTCATCCATTTAAAAAGGACACAAATGTCTTTTTGTTTTATCACATTTTTTTCTTCTCACATTTTATCATCATTTTCTCATCATCCAAACAACCACTTGTATGATTTTACATTCATTTTCTAACCATTTTCTTTCCTATTATTTTTCTTTCCTCTAATTTCTCATAGCATCCAAACAAAGGGTAAACTTGGAGGAATTGAAGTAAATAGCACTAAAACATAATGGCTTTCCCTAAATAGCACTACATGTGTTTTTTCTAATGTAACACTTTTAGTCATTATCCATTAGTCATTATTCAACTACATGCTCGTCATCACTAGACATTATGGACATAATTAAGTGCTATTTAAAGAATAAAATTATTTAAATGTTATTTTGGGAAATTACTTAAGTTTTAGTGCTATTTAGTGCAAATATTTATAAAACTTGAAGTTTATACCATTATCAGTCTTTATTAGGTTTAAGTTATTGTTTTTTTATCCTATCCTTTTTCTGTTGTTTTAATGTGTAATTCAAAATACTATGTTAATAATCAAAAACTGGATAAAAACAATTTTGACACTTTGAATGACATTTGCCTTTAGTTTTTTACGCAGTGGAATATAATTTCTCATAGAAGACTATATATTCTTCTCTGGGTACAAATTTACATATAGTTATTTGTAAAGAAATATTTGCACTAAATAGCACTAAAACTTAAGTCATTTCCCTAAATAGCACTTAAACAATTTTATTCCCTAAATAGCACTTAATAATGTCTATAATGTCCAGTGATGACGGATATTTACTTAAATAATGACTAATGCATAATGACTAAAAGTGTTACATTGGAAAGAAAAACACATGTGGTGCTATTCAGAGAAAGATATTATGTTTTAGTGCTATTTAAGTAAATTGCTCATTTGTAAAACTTTGGCGTTAAATTTTGGGTTATTTTGTGACACTTGGGAGGAGAGCTTTATTTTTTCTCTTATCATCATCAAAAATAAGATTTAAAATAAATGAACTTTCTAATTAAGAGAGTAAAAGATAATAAAAATAAAATTCTAAAATGAAAATAACGTGCAGTATGGCACGGCGGCGGGAGGCGGGATGGTGCAGCAGCCGCAGCCGGGGGCGCACTACATGCAGCAGCAGGGGCCGTCACAGCACGCGCAGCAAATGGCGGCGACCCAATCCCTCATGGCGGCGCGCTCCTCCGCGATGTACGGGCAGCAGCCGATGTCAGCCTTGCAGCAGCAGGCGGCGCTGTACGGGCAGCTGGGGATGGGCTCCGGCGGCGGGATTCAGATACTGCAGAGCGAGGCCGCCACCCACGGCGGGGCCAGTTACGGGGACTTCGGGCTGGGCAGCAGCGGGTACAAGCAGGAGATGCACGGGAGCGGAGACGGCGGACGGGCGGGGAGCTCCGGCGGCGGCGTGACGGACGGAGGGGACACTCTTTACTTGAGATCGGCGGGCGGGAATCAATGAACGCATGACCACCGCCGTGCGTGCGCGGCGGCCGGCGGCCGGCGGCCTAGGTAGTGCATGACATGTAATGGAATCTAATTAATTAAGTTAGCATCTCATGTACGTTTTTGGACTCTGTGTTTTCTTTTTTGATCCAAAGTACGTAAATCTCAAACGTACGTTGGGAGGTTGAGGTTTATGTACTCTACTAATGTTTTTTTTAGCTCCTCAACTTATTATGGTAATTAAATGCAATCCTGTGCGTCTGTTTGGTTAGTCAAACTTTCTTAGCCCAATGATTATTATAATATATCATGGCTCCTCTTTTGTACGGAATATATCAATGCTTACAATACGGTAGAGTCGTCCCTTTCAAAGATTCTAAAATGGTTACGTGAAAAAAATAGAAGATTGACCAGAAAAAAAGTTCTAGCCAAAGCGGCTTCACCACTCCTGTGAATCCTGTGATACCCGGAATGAGCACTAATAATAAGTAATACTCCGTCCCAAAATATTTTTCCTGTGTTGACTTGGCAGACTTATTAAGGAATTATTAAAAAAATGCCAAATTTCCAAAAATGCACATACTATAAACTTTTAAATCTCATTTTCCTATTAAAAAAGTAATAAAAAAGTAGATTAGTGATAAAATAGAAGGGTATTATTAAAATTTATCCTTAAAAAGTATACTAAAAAGGGAAATGTGAAAAATATTTTCGGACGGACCAAAAGAAAAGGGGGGAAAATATTTTCGGAAGGAGGAAGTATTTCCTATTTCCTCCTACCTTAAATTGAGAGTTACAAGGTAAAAATTATACATTAATAATAAAAGAAATTGTTGAATGGGTCTCCTTTTTAGTCAATGATGAGTGTCCTCGACATGATGATTACATGTATAAGTTTTTAACTAAAAATGATGATTATATAAACTAAATAGAGAAACTAGAGTAAAGGGGGACAACATTACACATATTTTGGCAAAAGAAAAAGGAAAATGATGACTAAGGAAAAATTATTTGTCTACTTTTGACTTTATTTGGTCAAAATTATTAAATTTTAACATCAAATAAATCATTTTATTAGATTTATTATATCAAATATTTTAAAATATTATTTTTTGTAAGTAATACTTCCTCCGTCCGAAAATGTTTTTCCTATTTGACTTTTCACGGTCTCCAAAATTACACTTTAACCACTAATATATTTATTTATACATAAATATATTTTATAAAAATTTTATATTTGAAAACTACGTTTCAATATTGATATTTTGATATTAAAGTTATACCATAATACGATGTATTTTTTTCCACATATCGAAGTCAAAGTTTACAAATTTTGACCAAGAAAAGTCAAATGGGAAGAATATTTTTGGGCGGAGGGAGTATACAATATATATTTTATTTAGTTATATGTTAAAGTTTAAAAATGATTGAATAAAAAAATCTTAATTGAACAAAATATCAATTGAGACTAATTTTTCTTCCCAACCAAACAAAATTTACTCCGTGCAAAAACAAGAAAACGGAGATCGGACGCCGTTCAAAGATTCGGTCCGATTTTCTCTCCTTCGCCGTCTCATCCAGCAGCGCAAGGTGCGCCACTGCCACCATTGACGGCCGTCGCCGGAAACCCAGTGCTCAACATTGGCTGGGATTCAAGTTTTGCCTGTCCCGCGAGAAAATCAAATGGTATGCTGTGTTCAATTTACTTTCCAGTTTAGATCGAATTAATGCGTTATGTTTCAAATATGGATAAAATTAGCATTGTGTAACTTGTAAATAAGTATTTGTCACATTCATACTCTGTTTGTATAATATCTGAATTCATACTCTGTTTGTATAATAATATCTGAATAAAGCTTTCTTTCCCTAATAAGTATTTGTCACATTTATATGAATAACTTGTAAATAAGTATTTACCTCCATGCTTTCTTTCCCTAATTCCATGTCCCAAACGGAACCTTAGTCAATAAAGATGTTCGACGGAGTATTTGATTATATGTCTTAAGATGGTAGAGAAAATCAAATGAGAGAATATTCTAAAGGGAAACTTTGGAGTGCCCTAGTTCAGTTATATAACTAATGTGTGAAACTGAAACATGATGTTTTGAGCTTATGGAATTTAAGCTAATGTACTCTCAATTAGTACTCACAGCTTACATGTAGTTTGAGACAAGATATTTTGACACCACTCCTCGGTGTCATCATAGAGCGATTTAAGGGCTTTATAGTGCTCCGCTTGGCCCAGGAGTGGGTTCTATCCCCCGAACCTTACTGTAGCAAATTGGTGAATCCAGGGGAGGCTGGGGGGTAGTACCCACTCCGGGGCCCAATGGAGCACTCTAGGACTTTGGAGTCATGAAATGACACCCAAAATTGGTGTCAAAAGAACCGTGGTCTTAGTAACCATACCAAAAGCTGCATTTTTCTTCATTCTTGCGAGTTGATCACCTTCCCTCCCCACCTTCCTTTTGTGGCTTTGGCAGGAAAAAGAAGCAAAGAAAGAAGCTTTTAGAAAGTATCTGGAGACGAGCGGAGCTCTTGATAGTTTGACAAAAGGTCTTATTACTAGTACTAGTCTTCTTGTATCGTCGTGTTTGAGCTCGTGAAACCAGTCTCTACTTTCGAGTAGGGGTAAGGTCTGCGTATACACAGACTCACACTCTCCAACCCTTACTTTTTGTGAGATTTTATTGGTTTTTTTGTACCATACTTCATCCATGAGAGGGTTAGAATCATTGCTCTCATCATTTCTCTTTTGTAAATGTCACCAACAAAATCTCATTTTTCTTCTCATATGGCGGGGGTTCATTGTAGTTCTTGTTGCACTGTATGAGCAGAATGACAAGCCGTCTTCTGCAATCGAGTAAGTACGCATGAGGTTTAACCCTACAAGCTCTCATATAGTCTGTTGTCTAATGCCCTCTTCCCCCCTGGTTTGTTTTTGACAGTTTCATCCAGCAAAAGCTGGGTGGGCCAACGGTGTCGGATTATGAGCAAATACAAGCTGAACTCTCGGATTTGCATATCAAGTATAATGAACTTCTAGCAGCACACCAGGAAAAATGCAAAGAGGTACATATGTCCCTCGCGACGTTACTTTTGTTAGCTAAAAGATTGAATTTGATTGATTAACTAGTTCATTTCTAAATTTGGTTAATCTGTCATTCTTTTGTTAGCAAAACTTATTTCAACCCTTATTTTATTAGTTATTGCTTCTTGATTCTTGGCCATTCTTTTGCCATATAATCCTCCAGTCTCCTCTGCACTGTTAATGCAGTTGGAAGAACTGAAAAGGCCTCATGCCGAAGAAGCTGCCGAGGAGGAGGCAGATGATTGTCACGATGCGGAAATGTCTACTTCAGGTGTATAAACATCTTCTTGTAGTAAAGAAGTGTCTGAAGAAGAAGAAGAAACTTTTGTGCCTTGAAGAAGAAACGTTTGTGCCCTGAAGAAACATCTTCTTCAGGTGTTATTTCTCATTTCTGCAATCATGTTTGGCTTTGTGTATCTTTGGTTTGTGTTTGTAGAACACACGTTCAAGTTTACACATTGTGTGTGGTATTGGGAGACCATGGTCCATGAATACCGAAAAAGTGTTGTTCTAGGTTCCACGTTTAGTTATATTTATAATCTAGGTGATAAAACAATTTTTTTTAGAGCAATTATACTCCCTCCGTTCTAAAAAGAATTTCACTGTTTGATATATTTTAACAACACTTTGACAACAAATTAAACATAGTTTTAAATAGTTAAATGTTACGGAGTATAAAAATTTGATATGTCAAAAGTATATTTTACATTATAAGTAAATATGTTTTTTTCATCATTTGAGGTCAAAGTGTAACTCAGTTTGACTAAAATGTCAAAATTGTGATGTTATTTTTGGGATGTAGGGAGTAGTTTTTGTCTTTAATGTAACATCTAATTGTATTAAGGACACCGTAATTGCTGTATATAATGTTAACAATTTAACTTTTTGCGGAGTAAAATTTGTATTAAATTTAGAATAAAATGGTTTCAAAATAATTTAATCAAACAAATGATGACATAAACTGCATTATGAATGAAGATATGGTTTAGATCTATACAGTATGAACAATAGAGAACCACAATTAAAACACCTCGTATTCAAGTCAATGAAAAATGGTTGTAGACTTGTAGTAAACAATTTGATAAACCCAAGTTCTTTTGACCTTTTCATAATATAACTTTGGGTACCTATGATATTTCGTTAGTAAAATTGATAGTTTTATCTCTCATCTATCCCTGTCCTATCAAATCAGCAATTTAGGAAGGACGATGGTTGATTAGGAGAGAAGCAAGATGAGAGTTAGGAGTAGGAATCATCAATTTAACCAACAACGCATTGTAGATGCCCCGGTTGTAATACGACCCGGCCACCCAAGGTCAGAATATCCCCGCCCTTTGATAAAAATGCCCGCTCCATTAAAATCAAACCAAGATGAAATTTCTATGATGTTGTGTTTAAAATTTTGATGACTCATGTCCACTAACTCTTGCAAACTCCCCTCCCTTGAATCAATCCAAAGTACTCATTCGTCTCAAAAAATTTTCTTCATTTGACTTTTATGATAAATTTATTTATAAATAATTTCTAAAATTATAATATAAATTTAGTACTCCCGTATAATGAGATCCTTTAATATACCCCGGAGTATAGTCTTGAATTTTGATATCAAATTTTATATACTCTGCAACTTTAACTTTTTATTGAATTTTTATTTATTTGAAATTATACTCTTTAATTAATGGTCAAAATTAACATAAAAGTTAAATTAGGACAATATTCTTGAGAGGGAGGGTGAAACATCAAATTATATGAATCCAGCAGTATTTCACACTAGAAAAGATAAAGTTGAACAAAAGTCAACGCTCATATCCAATCCAACGGCGGTTATTTGGCAGCATAGTCAGACACTCTTATCCACGCCGCTGAATTTGAAAACAGAACATTTAAGAAATCAATAAATAAAGGGAAATTTCTGAAATCAAATTATTAATAATTTCCGAAAATCAGAAAAATTAAAAAAAATTTATTCCCAAATCCAAAAATTCTCCGCCCATGGAGCCGAATGAAAGCACTGGGCTGGGCTCTTTCTACCACCACCACCAATCAGTCCACCAGTCCTCCGCCGCCGCTACCCCTACCACGGCGGTGCCACCCACCAATGGAATTGTGCCGAACTTTGGTGACAGCAACCCGGCCGCCGCAGCCGGAACCGCCGCTTCTCATATGGCGTACCCTAGTTCGCTGCAATCGGCTGGGTCGTCTCCGACGGAGCCCGTGAAGAAGAAGCGCGGGAGGCCTAGGAAGTACGATACTCCCGAGGAGGCGGCTGCTGCGAGGCGGGCGGCTGCCGCTTCTAACACTCTGCCCAAGAAGAGGGATCAGGTGCAGTTGGGCGACGGCGGAGTACAAGGAGACGGCGGCAGTGGTGGCAGACCGAGAGGAAGCGGCGGTTCTTCGTACGCTTTGAAGAATCACCCGTTTTCTGCTATTGGTAAATTTCTCTCCCTAACTCATTATTTGACCTAAATTTCCATTTTCTTGCATTTTCTTTCTTCTTCCAATGTCATATTTATTTTTAATTGGTAGAGTATTTCATCCCTTAATACGCTCAAATGAGTATTTGAAATGGTCAATAGTTTTAATTACCATTTGGAAGTATGGAACCATAACAGTGTTGAGTTTGGTAGAATGCCTTGCTGGCTTGCACCTACATGTGTGGATTATTAGGTTACTATGTCTGTCCTCCCCTGTTACTAATTAGATGATGAAGATTAAGATTTTCCAAGAAAAAAAACCTGCTCAGTTCGAGAGAATTGTGTTGTATTATAGGATTGGGACATTGGGTTCATGCCATTTTTTTTTTCTTTTTTTTTTTTAAAAAAGGTTCATGTCATTGCATTTTGCTTTCTTATTGTAACAGTATTTTGGTTTTTATTTGTTTGTCTTGTCTTGTTTGCTTGTTGGTTTTTTGATCCATATATGGCATATATTTGTAATTGGAAAACTTTATTTGTTTCCAAGGGCTGTATGATTATTACAGAGTAGTAATTAATTGGGGTAGAGGTAAGGACTGGTATGTCTGGTTTTACATTGTCATGGTAATTGGTAACAAGGATGTGCATTTTCACCTATGATCTCTTCTACTGGTGCAGGTGATGTGGGGAAAGGGTTCACGCCTTATATCATAAATGTGGTTGCAGGAGAAGTATGTTCCAAGACCTGTTTTACATCTCCTTTTCTTATGTGTAGTTCATTCTCTTTTCAGCTGTCCATGTTCATCTATATTGCCTTGACTATGCATTTGTGCTATTGAATTACTCATAATCTACCGCTAAGACAGGATGTCTGGTTTGCTTTTAATGGTTATGTCTGAAACTTATAATTTTGCGGCTGCCTGTGTAGAATCTACGGAGTATTGTGGAGTAGTAATTAAGTAATACGGAGTACTACGTAAGTAATAATTGAAAATGACAAATGTGGTAAACTGATTTTCTTTACACCAGAAATCCCTATTCGCTCTTCCACTACTCTCCCTTAAATGGAAAGGTGAATTATGATATGTTTTTTGCTGATTAGAAAAAGGGGCCCTACAAGGCTACAACCAATAGTATGATTCCTTGAAAGCATACTTCAACATGACTATTTTTACTGAATCAATGTACTCATCAATTTTGTTATTTAATTAGTAAGCGATTTGAAATTCTGAAACTGAAAGTTTGTTCATCTGGAAGGAACACATGGAAAAAGTGGTCACATTAATTATAGATTTTCTATCATTCTCGTATATCATTGGCAAAGCTTGTTGGTTACAATGTGATACCATGTTACAGTAAATTTCTATATTACGATTGCATTTATACGCATTATCACGCTTTATAATTAAAAGCAAAAAGTTGTTCCCTCTTATATGTGTTTCACTGTCCTTTTTATGGCATATGGTAGGACGTGAGCAACAAAATAATGACATTCATGCAACAAAGCAAGCGTGACATATGCATCCTCTCAGCATCTGGGGCAGTTTCGAGTGCATCTCTGCTCCAACCTTCAACTTCTGGAGGCAACATTACATATGAGGTACAAGTTTTTTCTTTTCTTTTTCATTTTAATTTAAAATTGGGTTGTGATGCGCATGTATTGAATGCCGCTTTTGGAAAACACCATTATGTCTTTTATAAACTATACTACTATAGTATGACTGATTATAAAAGTCACTCTTGACAAGTTCCTCCTGTTTTTTTCTTTAGCTACCAGCACTAGTCTAAAGATCTTTTTTCCACGTTGATCTTTTGGCATCTTTAAGCGGGACTGAGAACAGCTTATTTGAATTTTTCCCTGAATCTTTAGGATATTAGCTTTACTGCAGAAATAGAATTTCGCTGACTGTCACACTGTATTATACTCCTAAAATTTGTCCAAGTGTATCCCCTCATTCTGTTCTGCTTCTTTATCAGCAGCTTTCATAATTGTCTTCTCACTTAATCTGTATATTTCAATTGTTTAATTTCTTTTAAAATTCAGCGTCATTCTTCCATTGAACCAAGCATAATGGGGCTGTTTATTAACCCAAAAAGTTTTCTATTTTCTGAAACATGTTTACCTTTTCTGCTTTCCAAATTCAAGAGACATAAAAATGGAAGTAGGTTTACCTCACCAGTTTTTCAAATTTTGTAAACATGAAACAGCTCTTCAGTTTTTTAGAAAACTAGAGAACACTTTTTTTTAATGTTTTCCAAAGCTAAAACCAATCACTCATGACAATACAGTCACCTATGTTCCCCACTGATGGGGACTTCCAATCTTCCATAAAAATTAGTAATTTCCCACCTCCATTGTGGTGATCCCCACCTGGCCACCCACACATTCCTACCCCTCTTGATCATCAGCTTCACAACTAGTAATCATTAAATTTGCTGACAATCACCGTCAATGACTACCTCTACCTTTTGTTCTATCAACTCTCAATATCACCGGCAAAGACCGCCACCGACCACCAACATCTTTGCTGACCACTTGTGCGCTAGCGTCATCACCCACCATTGGCACTGGTGTTGATTGCCGCCACCTCCATCGACAACTGCAAGTGGTCTTGACATTACATGTATTTAGAAAACTGAAAACAAGAAAATAACAAACTGGAACACCGGAAACACAAATTCACGAACCCAAATATTTTGAACTCTTAAATTCTGACTCTTTGCTTCTCCATTGCTCCTTCACACCCTTCTTTTGAAGCAAACTTACATTTTAGAATTTCTTGTTGGACCCAGTGAGCCACCTAGTCCAGTCCAGTCTATGCATTATCAATTTACACATTAATAAATCTTTGAGATGTGCTGAATGTATGATATACTTTATAAGTAATGTGATATTGTAAGGACAATATTTATTTCTTTCCATCCAAAGTAGCCGATTAGATATTTTGCTAGGCAGGATGAGAAATAGTTACATACTAAACAATTTGTCTAATTAATTAGAGGTTTTTTATATAATCTTATGAAAGTGGTCACTGGACACATTCAAGGTAATATTTAAATTCATTTCTTTGAAGCATGCTAGGAAATCTATAAGGCGTAATAATAAGCATTTAAAAACAGTTTTTTTACTGGATATTTGGTACCCTTTGCGACTAACAGTTTTGTGAATGCAATTTCCATATGAAGTTGTTGATAGAGCTTGTGTAGGATTATTAGGACCACTTATATACCTCTTATTGGATCTTCCTGTTCTTTTTGTTCTACAAGAGTAAGTGCTATTTTCACTATATTTGGCAGGGGAGATTTGACATCCTTTCCCTATCTGGATCATATGTGCGCAATGGGTGTGGAGGGAAAACTGGCGGACTTAGTGTATGTCTTGGCAGCAGTGATGGTCAAATCATTGGAGGCGGAGTTGGAGGCCCCTTGACGGCTGCAGGCCAGATCCAGGTTTTTCTCTCTTTGTTAACAACAATATTCTAGATGAATCCTTGCAAAATTTAGCACTGAGAGGCAAAAACTTGGTGGAGGTAGGGGAAGGAAGGAAGAATAATATGGTGGATCATCATGCCCTTATTTTGTCTAATAGTATGTGGATGCTTTTAATCAACACGTAATTATATCGATCACAATACAAGGGGGGGAACAGAACACACAACCAGCCCACATTTCCTCCACCCCATCTTATTATTTTTATTGTTGGCAGGTCATCGTAGGCACATTTGTTGTAGACCCAAAGAAGGATACCACAACAGGGGGAATGATTCCCCAGGAGGCGCCGCCTGCAGCACAAGTGGGCGTGTCACCATTTCCGCCTGGTGTCGGCTTCCAGCCAGGGGGAGTAAATCCCTCTCATCAATTCATGGCACATCAGCAGCAGCCGCAACAACGGGGGGTGCAACCGATGCCCCTACAATCCTTCCATTGGAGGGGGGACGCAGGGCCCATGATGCACCACTCCCCAGATAACGAGGACTATGAGTAAACCATGGGGAGAGAGAGAGAGAGAGAGAGAGTAGAGAATCAGTCAGCCAGTCAGTCTTGTAGGTTCTCTTTTGGATTTTGAGAGGAACACAAAACTCAAATTTCAGCATCTGCCTGTGTCTAGTAGCTATAATAGTGTACAGGTTAGAGAATGCCTCTTCTTCTTCTTCTTCTTCTTCTTCTTCTTTGTCTTCGTCTTCCTCTTCTTTTTTACATCAGTATTCAGAAGAACTATGGACCTCCTAGATTTTGTGCACTGCTATGTATGTTGACTGTTTATTTGACAGTATTTCTAATGTTTTGTGTTTTTTTACAAACCGATTTATATTTGCACGTATCGGGGTATCCGAGTTTTATTTATTCATTCTCTCGGGTAACTGACCGGGCGGGGTTGGGGATCGCCCCGGGATCCTGAGATGGGGTGCATCATTGTTTAGCCTAAGCTCTCGATAATGCAGATGTGTTTGTCCGGCTGGTCTAGGAAATAATCTATCGGTTCTAAATTAATCTTTTCATTTTTTTAAAATATAATTTAAGAAAAGTAAAATTGTTTGTTTGAGATTTATAAAGATGAGAGAGAAGAGAGTGTATATGATATGGTACATCCGGATGTACCTAGAGATAGGTATATCCGGGTAGTACTCATTCTGAAGTAAAGTAGTACTCATTCTCGTATCAACATAAGCATCCATTTTGAAAACCATGTTACTAATTCTGAAAAAACGTAGTACTCATTTTCACACATTTGTGCAATATTTATTTACGAATAACCGAATGCACATTCTAAAACCTAGTAGTACTTATTCCCACTTAGACTAGTACTCATTCTTCAACTAAGTCCTAACCACGGATCCCCTACGGAATCATCACTTGCAAAACCCTCATCATCATCAGTCTTCCTTCTTCTTCTTCATCATCATTGCATCATCGCAGCTTCTTCAGTTCTGCAAAATCATCGGCAAAACCCCACCATCATCACCTGTCTTCCTTCTTCATCATCCCAGATCCGTGGAAACTTACAATCGGCCAGCCTCCTTCATCGCTGATTTCTTGCCCTTCCTTTTGCCCTATTAAACGCCGACTGTACTGATCTCTAGATACAGCCGGATGTATAATATTCTCTCCGTCCCGAAATAGATTACAATATTCCTTTACATTTTTGTCCCAAAAAAGATTACAAAGTCAATAATTTTATAGTGATTTGACACTTTTACCCTTCCTTTTCTTTTCTGTCAGCCACTATTCACACTATTTGGGGGTAATTTGGAGAAAAAAAATTTTGATTTGACTCTTGCTTAATTTCAACTAAAATGGAATATTGTAATCTAAAGTGGGACGGAGGGAGTATAATTTGTGTGAGAGATAATCAATATGAATTTCTGATTTCAATCCCTTCAAGGAATGAAGAGTTTTGTATTAATCTCTTTGGTAGACAGTTTTGATATCTATTTAAAAATGTGGTTAAGCATGGTTTATATAAAAGAAAATAAAAAATAAAAACATTGAATGATATGTGTAAATATGAAACAAAAAATTAGGATTTTCGAAGTGCTAGAAGAGTGTGTGAAAGGAGTTTATTTTAAAAATGTAGGAAAAGTATCGCACAGACAACTATCGTCTGTGTTTGTCTGTGCGAAGCATAAGTGCATCCATGGTAGCACCTATGTGGTGGCACCCTAGCATGGTCCTTTTTGTAAATGTCTTAATTCTATTAAGATACCAATATACTCCCTCCGTCCTATAATGATCTTCCCGGTTCGCAAAACGAAGAAAAATCATAAGTTTTTTCAATCAATTTTATTTAAATATTGGTATATAAATAAAAAATAAAACATACATATTTAAAAACTACACCAAAAGTTCAACAAAACAAGTGGTGACAAAAATATTTTATTTTATCATATAGGCCATGAAAAAACACAAATAAATATAAATTCCCGTGAAGTTGGATAGTGCTCTGGAAAGATCATTATAGGACGGAAGGAGTATTAATATTCATAAAATAAGCATAAAACATAAGATTACACAAGAATTAGACATCCAGCATAGTATATAGGCTCTATTTGCCCTAATTTAAATTGTATATTCATTATTTGTACTGTCAAATTGTAATAATTTTCAATCAATTTTCAAAACTTATTTGATAAAATAATATAATTAAATTTTTTAAGTTGTTAAATTTATTATATATTCCGTAAGTTTTTTTTGAATGCTATTGACTCTATTACAAGGTAGTATCTGTTCATACTATTCTTAAGCTAATGACGCACAAAGAGCCAATGCTGCTGTCTTTGCTGGGGTTCGAACCTGGGTGAACTTCCTCATGAATTCTGGGGAATGGACTTGCTACCACTCAAGCCAGGGGAAAAAAGTTAAATATATACTCGTATTTTTTAAATTAAATAAAAAATAATTTCAATTAGATATAGGAATTTAAATTTGGACAAACTAATGAAATAAGCGGCCCAGTGACAGTAAAACCCTAATCGCCGTCGTCGTCGCTCCATTCGAAACCAAATCTCAATTCTCTTTTCCTATTAATGGCTCCCCATTGTTTCGATTCCTCCTGAGGATTCGCTGCAGAAGGAACAATTTTCTCTCCGAATCTGAAAGTTATTTTCTTTGTTCATTTCTCGTTATTTTTCAGCAAGACGAAGCGCAAATCAAGCGCTTCATGGGCGGATTGCAACCCCCTGGGGCTCATGTATTGCGCTATACGAGATCGATTCCATCTTCTGAACTTCATCTTCTCCTCTTGAGCAGCTTTTTCTCAGGAGGATTCCAGAAGGAATCAACATTCTTCAGTTTCTGCGATTTTCTTTAGAATTATTATTCGGAGAAAGCACATATCGAAGGCTTCACTGGTGATTGAAACCCGCTTCTGCTCAATGATTGTGCAATGTTAATTTTTGTTTCCTAAAATCTTCCTTGATTATAATCTATCTACTTGATGATCATTCTGAAATTCTCAAGCAGATTCTTCATGGATGAACATCTTTTGGTTTTTTTTGCTTCCAAGCTTTAAATAGAGATTGATTGAAGCTTCTCTAGAAGAAAGAAGAAAGTACAGAAATATGAAGATTGTTTTGGGACATAATATGAGCTTTCACAAAAGGATGGGTCATCATCTATGGAGCACTTTAGAGACAAAAACTCAACTTATGGAAACTAATCTGTTTCTGCATTGATAAACATATGGCAAATGGGAAAATAAACATTGTGAGTAGATCAACATAAGGTGTAACATTGTGTTCTCAAGGTAGGCTAATAATAAGACTTTGATACAAAAAAGGGTTGGCAATGTTGAGTGCACTTGTAAAATACTACTAGAACAAAGGTAGTGTTCATTATTCCCAACTCTCATCACTCAATTGACCATTATCTCCCTCCATTGGAGCCCTAACCACCAAAACCACCATTCCCAAACTCTCTTCAACTCCATTCTCCTTCAATGTCCCTCCTCTCTCCACCTTCAACTTTGCATTTGAGCTCCCATTCCCAACTTCAAACACCAAGTAGAAGCCGTTGTCGGAGACGACCTCTTTCCTCCGCCTGTCGGCCACCACCAAAATCGGGTCCCGCTGGTTCTTCTCGCTCTCTTTCCATGGCAAAATCCTCCCGTTCTCGAATCTCACCGCCGCTCCCCCTCTGTGTAGACCGGATATCGGCTTCCATTCAGGTAAGACCACCCATCTCCGCCACTCCTTTTCCGCCTCCACTATCCCAAATTCCCCCACTCCGATGCAATTCCACGGTGCAGCCTCCACTTCCTCTGCCTCCACCGCCACAGGCAAGACCACCAGGGCGGATGATTCCGCCACCTCTCCCAATTGCATTCTCACCAACGGCACGGTAACTTCATGGCCTTCCACATTGCTTTCTTTCTCTTCGGACTTGGTTCGGGACTTCTCTTCCTCAAGTAAAGCTTTTGCCGCATCCGACACTGCAAACTCCAGAGCCTTCTGCAGAGAGAGCCGCCGAAGCTCATCCTTGGAGGCAGCTTCGTACTCCTTCGCCTGCCGGAAGTAACTGAACGCCAGGCAATCTCCCGGAGATTCCGGATCAAATCTCGCCCATCCGCGGTCCGCGCGCCTCAGCCGGAAATCCTTCATCGCTCTGGCCAATCTCTGCGATTGCTTCACATCGGATCTGTTTTTCACGAGGAAATCCGCCGCCGCCGCACGCTGGTCGGCCGTGAGGATGCGGATCTCGTAAAGCAGTTCCGCACCGCCGCCGGAATCAAAGAAGGAGAGCGTCTCCGCGTCAATTCCGGAGTTCAGCAGAGATTCGCGCACCCGAGAAGCTACGACGAGGAGGTTCTGTTCGGCTCCAGAAATTCCGGCGATTTCTTCCAGCGTGGAAGGCGCGAATCCTTCCTGGATCAGTGAGGGAATCAGTGGAGCATATTCGAACCACGGCCCCAGACGCTTCGTGAGGATTTCGAGGCGGGAATTGGTGTCGAGAGAGCGGTATTTGGAGGGAACTGGAGAAGGCGGTGGCCGGAAAGGCTGGTATAGCTGTTTCCGTTCCGGCGGATTTTGGCCTGGGGAAGGCGGGAAAATGAGAGCGGCAATTGGTCTTGGGGAGAGAACGGGTTTGGGGAAAACGGTTGGCGGCGGAGAAGGTAGGAAGGTGGAGGAGAGTGACGGCGGTTTTGGAATGTTAACGGAGAGAGAAAGCATGGCGTTTGAGGTTCGAGGATAGAGGAGGCTTATCCACAATCTATCTCCCGTGCCTCTATTCTGCGAGACGGCGAGAAGGCGATAGGATTGTGAATGCTCAAGCAAGTACCACAGGGATATCGAATTTTTTCTAAAAAATTGAGATTATCAAATTAAAATATATTAAATTAATAGAATATCGAAAAAGAATTGTATCATATCGAATGATCGGTCCGGTATTTAAGATCGGTATGGGGTAATTTTTTATATCAAAAAATTCCGAATCGAACATACTCCCTCCGTCCCTAAATAATCACAACATTTGCTTTTTCAGCAGTCGCGAAAATTTTTGTTTATTTTGACGTTTTCATTAGTTATTTGATAAAATAAAATATTCTTGACACCTCTTATTTCGAAGAACTTTTCATATAGTTTTTTTATATATAAATTTTATTTCTTGTTTATATACCAATATGTAAATAAAATGAATTGAAAAAACTCGATATTTTGTCTTGGGAATACAAATGTGGCAAATAATTTGGGACGGAGGAAATATATACGAAGGGTAGGATTCTAATGATATTGACCCATCATGTCATTCTATGACATGAACTACGTTTGGGTCCTTATGGTGTTCCATTCAAAAAAATGATGGTTTCAACCCTTCTAATCCCCCGATAAATCCCCAACTTGGCACGATCCGAACCCACATTTCCTTCTCATCAATTGTATCCCACAAGATGTAGTTGACTTTGGAGTCAAAACTTGATTTTAAAGTCAACTACATCTTGTGGGGTGTAGTTGATGGGGGAGGGGGTGGGTTGGGGTCGGGTCGAGTTGGAAAGTTTTTTCGGACGGTTAGGTGATTGGAATTGGAACCATCAATTTTTCGAACGGAGTACCATAGGGACCTCAGATCATTCAATGACATTGATTTCCAATGTAATGGGAACAATGGTAATATACGAATATGTCATAAAGATATAATAACATTTTTGTATTTCTTCATTAAATAATTGATTGATTTTGAAAAGTTAGTTCAAGAATAGATTAATTATAAATAATCTTTTATTTAAATAATCATTTATTTGAATTTAAATTTTTTGTGGATGAATAGTAAAAAATTAACAAACATATGAAATATTAATTATGTTATTATTCATTCTCTTGCGTTTGTGAAATGCAAAACATAAATTAAACTATAAGCATTTCTTGCATTTAACTATTTATTTTTCAATTCTTTATACGTTTCAAAGTGTAAACTAGATACATATATATTCATCACAGTATTTACCGAAGTCGAATCATACCAAACCGATACTTTGAGATCGAGATCGATACGATGTCAAATTACATACCGAACTGAAATATTTAGTGTTGTATCGATACGAACCAAATACCGCATCATACTGTACCACGCTCACCCATAGTATTGTAATTTGCGAACAAAGTTTGTTTTTAAATGAGCCTGTTCGAGTTTGAGTTCGAGTGGAAGAACGGATTGGATGCGAGTGCGCAAATTAAAAGTATTAAAATTTTAAAAGTATATATAAGTGCACGTATATTTTAAAACACTAAATAAAAAACATATATATGTCTGCATGTTTACTTCATAATTATTATATTTATAGGATAATGAATAACTTATGAATTTGAGCAATAATTAAATCAGGATTATATATTTTGCTCATTCAATATTGTAACGCCACAAAACAAATCCTAAAATTATTATTGAATTATTATTCAATTAAACAAATTTGTTTTGATTAAAATAAATTATTGTTGGGTTTGGACCGAAACGGAATATGTTTTGATATCTTATATCACAATCTGGATAAATCTCATAGAGATAAATCCAATATATTGACGATATGTGTGATCTTGATTGAGAACTAGAGTAGAGATCCAAAATCAAACACCAAAAAATATGATGTCAGAATAAGTATTACAATTAAATATACAAATTATATTGTTGGATAGAGTTTAATTGTCTGATCATAACGGTGCAAATGGATTTCAATTCAGAGAAAGTTAGACAAAAAACTGTACCCCGACTCTGACCAAAGTTAGTCCCAATCAAATAAGAGTCGTGAGAATTTCACAGCTCAGGCATTCGTCATGAGTTAGACTGTTAGAGTTCCATTGGTCAGAACATGCGATGGATCAAAACGATAACGCTTTAACATTGACACATGGAGTACATCGTGGATCTTGTTCACTTCTGGAGGAAGTTCTAACCGATAGGCTATTGGACCCACACGATTCGATAGGGTTCAATATACCTTGAGCTTAGTTTTCCCTTCCTACCAAGTCGTAATACTTTCTTCCATGGTGAATTTTTCAGAAACACTATGTTGTCCACATTGTATTCAATCTCACGATGTTTCAAGTTAGGCAAACTTTATCTTCAGTTTTTCAAACTAGATCAGGTCCTTCAAGCTTTTGTTTACTTAATTCAGTCCAGCAGACTGGGTTCTATAGCGTGTCCCATATAGTGCTTCGTACAGAGGCCATTTGGATGCTAGCTTGATAACTGTTGTTATAAGCAAACTCTATTGACGCTAGGTGCTGTTCCTAGTTGTTCCCAAAGTCGATCACACATGTTCTCATCATGTCTTCTAAATTTGAATGATTCTTTCAGAATGTCCGTCGATTTGAGCACAAAATATCGTACTAAAGTTGAGTTTAGTACCTAACGCTTTCTTCATACTTTTTCAGAATTATGACGTAAATTGGGAATCACGATAAGAAATGATCGACAGAGGCACACCATGTAACCTTACGATCTTACAGATTTACAGTTCTGCTAATCTTTTTAATGACGTGTCACGTCAGATTAGTATGAAATGAGCTGACTTGATCAATCGGTCAACAATTACCCAAACATTATCAATCTTCTTAACTAACAAAGGAAGTCCAATCACAAAATCTATAGTAATCCCTTCCCACTTCCATTCAGAGATGGTAAGTGGATGCAATAATCTACTCGGCACTTGATGTTCAGCTTTGACCTGTTGACACGTCAAATATGAGATAGTAAATTTTGAAATCTCTTGCTTCATCGTCGGCCATTAATACGTCTTCTTCAAATCTTGGAACATTTTGTTACTACCAGGATGCATGGTATACGTGATTTCGTGAGATTCATGCATCAAACTTTCTCTAACTTCTCCACTAGGTACCACCAAATGATTTCGGTAAAACAAACTCTAAAAAACTCTTAGAGAGTCCATAAGTTCTCTCCTCCTTTAGAACGAATTCCCACAGATTTTAAAAATCTAAAAAGCTTCTAGAGAGTCCACAAGACCACAACCAATACACCCCCTTAGTTTAGGCTTGTACTTTGGTCTTTAATCAAGATCACACATTCAATCGACATATTAGATTTATTCAAGTTATGATATTGGATATCAAATATCTTCAAATTTTGCTCAAAGCATAACAATAATTTATTTTAATTTGAAACAAATTTGTTTAATTGGATAATAATTCAATAATATTTTTAAGATATATTTTGTGACATTACACCTCTGACGATTGGATATTTATTATTAAAATTAAAAAAAAACAATTTCATGTGTACTATATGTGATGGTCAATCTATTGAATTTAGGGTTCTTATTCATGAATTAAAAATTCTGTCTTTTCCACCCAGAAAACAACCCAATTTTGACGCAGCCTAACTCAAGTTATGTGAGGCAAATTTTGAATTAATAATTTCAGGTTTGGATTGCGATTCAGGGTCAAGTGAGGAGAAGGGATGGAGGAAGAAAGACGGAATCGTAAGAGGAAGAGAGAGAAGCATCGCCGGAAACCCGCCGCTGATTTGTCTTCGCTCCCCACCGCAGAGAAGCATAAACCGGTCGATTCATCTTTGATTTCAGTCCCCCAGAGCAAAACAATCTCTAAACCTAAGAAGACTTCATCTTTTATCGACAAGGTCCCCTCTATCTATATAGCTGTCTTTCTTTGATGAGAGCAATTTGTTACAGAGTATTTTCCCGTGGTTATGCAGATGAGGGCGAGATTGTCAGGGGGACACTTCCGTATGATTAACGAGAAGCTCTACACTTGCTCGTAAGCAAAAAAAATTTGCTGTTTTATGTAACAACATAGCCTATAGTTGAGCATTTTTGCTGAAATTATCCGATAAGAATTTAGTTTTGTGTTTCTTGAATTCAGTGGAGATGCTGCACTGAACTATTTCAAAGAAGACCCACAGTTGTTTAGTGTGGTAAGTTTGCATTCTACCTTCGTTGGATCTTGTTTATGTCACCATGAAGCAACCGAATGAATCCAAAACATGTAAAAATGAAGTTAATCCCATGGCGGCCCGGGCGTTTGATTAACATTATTGCCGTGCTTGATTTGTAAGTGTGTGTTTTATTTTAAATTGTTGGTGGAGCTTAGAAGAAATAGTCGTGTATGTGTGTGCTTCTTTGTGTTTTGGTTACAAGTTTCTTTTTGTCGTCCTCTGACAATAGAGCTAAAAGAGTCATCATTGAAAATGTTTTAGCTTTGGGTAAATAATGGTTTACATCAAAAGATTACATTAAACTCCCATTGTGCTTTACTTTCGATAAAATCTTGGGCAGTAAATGCCGCAATGCGTGTATGCTACATTGGTACTGTTGCACAAATCTTAAAGCAAGACCCAACCGGTGTTGGGATTATACTAGAGTTTGTTATTGTTGTTTTTGTTGGGTGTGATTTTCTTTTCATAGCGAATGAGTGTTTCTTTCTTAAACCACTTCATTTTCATTTTTTTCTCATTTATAATCGGCATTATATTGGCTGTCTATTTAACACTTGTTCTTACTTACATGGCCAGTATCATGCAGGATACCAAGAACAGATGTCACATTGGCCTGAACAGCCAGTTAATATAATTATAAAATGGATTAAGGATCAAGATCCTTCATTAGTTGTGGCTGACTTTGGCTGCGGTGAGAATTCTGTGTATACGAACTCATAAGCCTTGTTGCCATTATTGATATGCGTGTATAGTGCATTTTAAATAGTTGTGTGTGTTCATGTATCATTTCAGGAGATGCACAACTCTCAAGAAATGTGAAGAATAAAGTGTTCTCTATTGACCTTGTATCAAATGATCCTTCCGTAATAGCATGTGACATGTCAAATGTATGTGCTTCATGTGATCACGCCTCCGTTTGAAAAATTCAAAATGCTGTATCCAGAATGCTTCTGGTTGAACCTCTTTGATTTCCTTTTTAATTTTCCCAATTTTGCATGTGTAGACACCCCTTGATTCCTCCTCCGCGGATGTTGCTGTCTTTTGCCTTTCACTGATGGGAATCAACTATCCAAGCTATCTTCAAGAAGCTCATCGAGTTCTTAAGCCCAGGTATGGCATGCACTCTTCTATCTTGAGACATCATTCCTGTTTTTGTTTTTGGACAAAACTTTCAATATCATCAATAATCGTTCCAAAAACCTTGCATCCATAATCACTTAATCAGATCCATAAACCAGACATAGATAGAATCATAAGCCGCAACTATTGATTCACTGATTTTCAACATGACATGAAGTCTTTAGTAAGAGTTTTTCAGCCAAAATCACATAAAACTAGCATAGACTAGTAGCAAATAATTCTTGTACATAGAAGATAAAAAAACACGGATAGAATAGGAAGGCAACGGCTCTTCTTTATAGGACAATAACAACTGAATAGCATACACCCTAATACCACCATATGTAGTCTTTTGTCTTTTTTTTTTTATTGTTCTCTATTACCCAGTAAGTTATTTGACAATGTATCTTTGCAGCGGATGGCTCTTAATAGCTGAGGTCAAGAGCAGGCTTGATCCAAATACCGGGGGAGCAGACCCTGGGAAGTTTGTAAAAGCTGTATGTGACCTCGGATATTCCTCTGTCAATAAGGTTTGCCTCTTTTGTTTAAGTTGTTAGTAATTGGCTAAACTCCACGATTGGTCCTTCAACTTTATTAATTATGTACGGTTGGTCCTTCAAGTTTTAAAAGTCCATAAATAGTCCTTCAACTTTATGAGTTATGCATGCTTAGTCCTTCAAGTTTTAAAAGTGCATAAATAGTCTTTCAAGTACACGTCAGCCCTCCACATGAGGTCTTTTTGGTTCGCAAAACGAAGAAAAATCCCAAGTTTTTTCAATCTATTTTATTTAAATATTGGTATAGAAATAAAAAATAAAACATACATATTTAAAAACTACATCAAAAGTTCAACAAAACAAGTGGTGACAAGAATATTTTATTTTATCATATAGGCCATGAAAAAACACAAATAAATATAAATTCCTGTGAAGTTGGAATAGTGCTCTGGGAAGATCATTATAGGACGGAGGGAGTAAAAGCTAAATGAAATACTAGCTCCATATAATACGAAGTAGTTGTACATAGTGAAATTGACTCGTATTATATGAAACTGGTTTTTCGTTTAACTTTTAATATTTACTGTTAAAAGGACTTCATATGGAGGGCTAACGTGTACCTGAAGGACTACTTATGGACTTTTAAAACTTGAAGGACCAATGGTGCAGAACTCATAAAGTTGAAGGACTATTTATGGACTTTTGAAACTTGAAGGACCAATCGTGCACAACTGATAAAGTTGAAGGACCAATGGTGGATTTTAGCCTTAGTAATTTCAATCAAGATAAATAAACGGTAGTATATAGAATTCAAACACATTGGTTTGCAGGATTTCTCCAATAAGATGTTTGCACTCTTCTACTTCAAGAAGAAAAAGGTGATAGCATTTTATATCATTGATGATTTGACAAATGTTATTAATCTATAGTTTCCTAAATGAAGTGGGGTTTTGAATTTCTTTGTGAAGGGAGGGAGTGCCCTATATTTAGATGGCTGTTGTTGCTTATTGTTGCAGGATAAGCAAAATGTGGGGGGCAGGGGAATCGATTGGCCTGAACTGAAACCTTGCATGTACAAGCGCCGCTAAGTTATGGGCATCTCGATATGGGAATGGGAGTAATTCAGGTTTGTATCGGCTGGTTTGAATTCTTGAATACGAAAACAACTTAGCCTTTGGGTGTCAATCCACTGTCGAAATAGGTGAAGGTTTATGTATTTAACGGTCCATTTTCTTATAAAGAAAATTTCATTTTTAAGAGGATGATAATTATGTGTTCAGTTGTATGATGAACTCCAACAAATTGATCACGGTAATTGATTAGCCAAATTTTATTTTTGAAATGCCTATTTTCCTGCCAAATAAGGAGTATTTTTCTAGTTCTAAAATAAACTCTTATCACAACAACAATATAATTATCCAAAATTTCTTATTCCCTCTCCGTCCCTAAATTGATTACAATTTTTTTCTCTCTCCTCTCGATAACTTTTGTTCGTTTACGCGATTTCATTAAGTATTTGATAAAATAAAATATTCTTGTCACTTTTTTTTGTAGAACTTTTGACGTAGTTTTTTAATATGTAATTTTTATAATTTATTGATATACCAATTTGTAAATAAAATAATTTCAAAAAGTAGGAAATTTTTATTTCGTAACTCGCAATTTGTAATCTATTTAGGGACGGAGGGAGTAATATTTTTTCCCAACAGCTGACGAAATGAAGCCTTCTCCATGCTTCTCTGGATTATCTCTTCAAGATTTATATGCTGCAACTAAATACAGAGTAGGCGGCGGGGCAGCGGCGGAGATGCCCGGAGCTGCTTTGCCACCGCGGTGACGCGATAGAGAATAGGTGGTGGTGAAGGAACACCCATGTGACCTAAGTGGTGGGGCATGGGAGATGGTAACCATATTCCTCCTGCTCTTAATGATTGCTCATATTCATATGGTCTCCCGGCGGTCTCCACCTCCGCCCCACCCTCTGCCGCCGCTTCCTCGCTGTCTCCGCCACCGTATCTCATCTTCTTCACATTCCTGCTCCTGCCGGTGTCCAGTGCCAAACCATGGACCAAGATGATCACCATAACAAACGAGATCATATTCATCTTAATTACTGAAAAACTCATTATATGTTCTTTTTTCTTTTGCTGTTCTTTTTGTCTCAACTAGGCATGAATTTAGCTGTAAACACGGAAGCAATTTATGTAGTAGTGAACAAACGCGTCGGCGCCTACCTTTCTTGACAAAAAAAAAAAAGAAAAATGAGCATTTGCTTATTTTTTTAATTTAAAAAAAAATATTAATTTGTGAAGAAAACATACAGTGAAAGAAATTATTGGTTCTCTAGTGAGAAGGATGCATAGTAGTGTAAAAAATGAGAATACATATAATCTGTTGGATTTAAGATCTAAGTGTTAATAAAATTTTAAAAAATTGAAAAATAAATTAGAAAAATCGTTGTGATATTTTTGAAAATATAACGAATTTTGCTCTACCATATTCAGAAAATGCACCATGACGTGCAATAAAATATGAACTACCATATTAAGAAAAATATTTTTGGCCTTTTGTTTAGTCTAACTTTGTTAGGAGTGTGTGGGTCCTCAGCTCAATCCCACATAAGTATGATATCGGTCGTTATGAGCCAAGTTATTACGAATTTGTTTTTAGACACCTCGCAAAAAGCTTCATACTAATGAAGTTAGATAACCATGTAAACATTGATTTTCCTTCTCTTGTTCTTCTAGTGTGAGAGGCTATTTTGCACCCAACAAACCTTCTCTCAAACTAATGATCACACAACGCGTGACCTCCACTTTAGCGATTGTCCATTTGATTTGCCACCATATATTTAGATGGCTATTGTTGCTTATTGTTGTAGGAAAAGCAAAATACAGAGGGCAGGGGAATTGATTGGCCTGAACTGAAACCTTGCATGTACAAGCGCCGCTAAGTTATGGGCATCTTGATATGAGAATTAGAGTGGTTCGGGTTTGTATCGGCTGGTTTGAATGCTTGACTACGAAAACAACAACTTAGCCTTTGGGTGTCAATCAACTGTCAAAACAGGTCGAAGTTTATGCATTTAACGGCCCATTTTTTAAAAGAAAATCTCATTGTTGCTAAACACTGCCCGACCTTCTCCTGTCGGGAAGACTTTTGACACAAGGAATACCACAGACTACCAATCCACTAAAGCCCCAACAAACTTTCACCTCAAGAGATTTAGATATTATTTAGTCGAATAAATAGTGTTATTTTGAGACCTTGAAGAAACAAAAAATAATAACGTGGCATATAAAATTTCACAATACACTTTGATCAACCTATATATTGCAATGAGAGATGTCCTGGTGGTATAGTACAACAGCTACAACTCCAACATAATAAATACATACATACATACGGTCTCCAAGATTACACTATGACCGCTAATATCTTTATTTATACATGGATATATTTTATAAAAATTTGATATTTGAAAACTATATTTCAAAATGAATATATTCATAGTTATACACACACACACACACACATACTCCCTACGTCCCAAAATATTTGTCACACTTGCTTTTTCAGCAGTTGCGAGAACTTTTGTTTATTTCTACGTTTTCGTTGGTTATTTGATGAAATAAAATATTCTTGACACCTCTTATTGCGAAGAACTTTTCATGTAGTTTTTTTGATATGTAAATTTTAATTTTACCAATATGTAAAAAAAAGAATTGAAAAAGCTTGATATTTTATCTCGAGAGGACAAATGTGACAAATATTTAGGGACGGCGGGAGTATATCCCACCAAGTAAAAGTAATAGGGAGTATTCACATCAATTCATTCAAAACCAAGTACGTATCTATTACTCGGTACAATTTTTTTTTACATGCATTAGAAATTGAATAAATATAAACATGATGTATGTTACTACGTAATACTCATTCAAAACATCTCAAAAATTATAGTCCTAATAATAGATAGTCAATTGTGAATGAAGGGAATACTGTCTAAGAATTGTGAAAGTGGTGCCAAAATTAGAATACCCCATACAATGTTTATTTCTCGTAGTTCATTCTAAGAAGAAGGGGCGGGCGGGGGCGGTGGCGGCAGAGGCAGCAGAGGCCCGAAATGACGACCGGTATTGACGCGCGGGGTTGGAGGCCTCCCTCCGGCGGCGCGCATGGTCCGATACTTAACGAGGATATCGTCTATGGCGGCCGTTGGTGAGAAGAAACGGTGATGATGATCTCTTGCTCCCATGGCTGAACCATTATGGTTTAGTAATAGCAGCAGCAGGGGGAGCAGAAATGATGTTTTCCCCATCATTGTGCAGTATATTGAAACGGATTATTAAAAGGTTCCGAAGTGAACTTACAACTTATGTAGCTAGCTAGCTAGCTCGTATGGTGGATGGTTAGTACGTGTTTAATCAGTCACTACTGGTTTACGCGTTTGTTTGCAAAAGTCAGTCAACTGCTGCCGTCCCCGGATGAGACCTACACGAGAATAAATCTCCTTCCGGAACGCCTGCCCCCGGCCCGACAGGATTGCGAGAGGTGCAAATCATATTATAATCTCAATCTGATCCTTAGAGAAGAGGCCGATCCGTGCCCTCTGCGCTAGGAGCTATCACAAAGAATAGAATTCCAAAATTGCCGATGTCGGGAATCGATCCTAGGATCAATGGATTTCACATCCTCTTCTTCGACTATTTGAGCATTTTTATTGATTATTTGATAAATTAAAATATTTTTATCACTTCATAATTTATAAAATTTTGAAATTAATTTTAAATATACAATTCTTATTTTTTATATCAGTTTTCAGATAAAATAATTTAATAAAAAGGATAAATCACGTGATTGGATGGCACCAATACAAAGCCCAATAATGCGTTTGACATCCTCTACAAAGCCCAATACAAAAAAACTCGTGATGTTGGGGAAATTTCCTCACTTGAAACTTTTGGAAAAACTATTTTCTCAGTGAGAAAATTGCATAAAAATTGCATGTTATACATGTGATTTCCTTTTTTTACTTCAATAGTACATGCAAAAATCTGACCATAACTTTTTTTGTTAAATAATTTCTCCCCCCAATGATGCATGGTTTGCCTTAAAAAATATAAATAATATTATTTATTTTTTAGATTTAAATTTGTATTACATATCATTAAATATGTATTATTGAAATTTTTGAGTATCAATATCAACAATATTTTTAAGAACCAAAAATGATTAAATATTATTTATAAAGAACTCAGTTTTAAATAGCAGATACCAAAAAAGGCACATACCAAAAAAGCACATTTGCACATACCATAAAATGATTAAATATCATTGCTCTTGTACACAACATAAAAAGCACATACCAAAAAAGTACAATTTAAAAAACACATACTAAAAAAGATTTAAAAATAATTAAAGCATAACTATTAATTTACTCTACAATCCATCTCACTCGGATAATGATTTTACTGACGACGTCCTCGACAAGAAGTCCCTTCTCAAACTAAGAAATGCAAACCCGTTAATGAAAAGACCCAACGGACATTCCACATTTTGTAAAGTGATACCTATTTTCCCAAAAGGGAAATGAAAAGCATGCACCTCCAGTCTTCATCGCTCAATGAGATCGGTGATTAAAACATGGTCAAACCTAAAAGGATGCACACGGTGTACCCCATAAAATCCAGTCCTCTGTAAATTTTGGAGAACCCTGGGTCATAAAAAATAGTAGGTATAGAATTATGATATCACACTGAAATTAGTTTATTGTCACAAAACTCATTATGCTTCCATACTTGACTAGAATGAAGAGTACTTTACAAATGTAATATGTCATCTATTCTAGGGCCAACAATCTCTCTCTCCATCTCTCTTTCTCTTTCTAGATCATCCACTTTTACACTACAAAAATAAAACAATAAAAAAATTAAAATTTTCTTATTCTTAAAATTTAATCAATACAAAATTCATTTTTAAAAAATTTCATAAGTTCGGAAAAAACATATACATAAATTTTTTAAAACATTTCCATAAATTCAAAAAAAATCAGAAAAACGCATGGAGCAAACAGTTGAGAATATATAACACACAATCCTAAAACAATCAAACAAAGAATGGAAACTAATAAAAATATAACATCTATAATCAATAGTATTGATATCTAAAATTTAAGTAAAATATAAATAATAAAAAAATACCTGAGAAATGTTGAGTGTTATGGAGCAGTGTGAAAATAAGAAAAATTTGAATATATATATATATATATATATATATATATATATATATATATATATATATATATATATATATATATATATATTAGTGATTATTTAAAGATAAAGGGATGGGTGGAGTTGGATGGCTCGGGAAGAAGGGGTAGTGGACTAGTGGTAACGTAGGCTAGGGGTGAGCAAAATTAACCGGACCGACCCCAAAACCAAAAACCGAAATAGCCGAAAGTTCGGTTTCAGTTTCGGTTTTCATGTAAAAAGCATTTTTGATTTTTCAGTTTTTTGAATTGGAAAAAATCGAAACCGAATTTTTGGATATCCGAATTTTTGGATCGGATCCGATGGAACACCCCTAGCGAGCGCCTTATCCATTAGGAAAAAAGTTCAAAAAGGAAAAAATATTGCTTCACCTGAATTGGAAAAACTTTACTTGCGCGTTCACGATGGGACTCGAACCCACATTCTCCCGCTCCGGAGGCGAGCGCCTTATCCATTAGGCCACGCGAACAGATGTTTCGAAGTGTTGAATGCTATGTATTAACTTATTAAGGAAGCGACATCTACCCCAAAGTTTGTATCTTTTTTGTACGCTTAAGGTATGCACTAACATTTTGATGATTCATACTGACACAAAGCGTTGATGTATTAGCAAAAATTAGCAATACACCAACACAAAATGTTGGTCCATCCCTGCAATGTACAAAATGGGATAAAAATTCTTAAAATACAAATAGTTTTATCCGTAGTTTATTTCTTTTTATTGTTGTTTTGATTCTATTTGTGTTTTTAAATGGTCGACTATCTAAATATCCAACTGTTTTCATTATCTCTGTGTTTCAAGAGGTTATATATAATAATTAGGTCACTTTTTATTTTATACCACATTTGGTTTTTTGTAGTTTTTAAATATTTAGATTATACTTTTAAAATTTGCACCGCTGCTTCTTTTGTCCTGCTCAGCCCACCCTCTGCCCGGTCCGGTGTGCACCGTTGCTTCTCATGATTTTAAAACTTACATCATATCGTTTTCCCTCATGATTTTGATGATGATGAGCGAGGACAAAGCTCCAGGTGACGATACAACGAACGGAGGAGAAAGCTACGCAAAAGTTAGATTGCATAAAGGATAAATCATAGGTGATTAATTTTAACTCACTCTTTTGCATCGGTAATTAGTAATAACCGACGCAATATGCCTTTGTATCGGTTGTTACTAATAACCGATGAAAAAAACTAGTTCGCGAAAACCTACGTTATTCTGGCATGATTTTGGGTTATCAATGAGCTTCTAAAGAAATATCAAGCAACTGAGATTGATGAACTGGAGTTAAAATTAGGGGTGAGCAAATTAACCGGACCGACTGCGAAACAGAAAAACAAAATAACCGAAAGTTCGGTTTCGATTTCGATTTTCATGTATTTTAGCTATGAAACCGAACCGACCGAATAACCGATTATTTTATTTTATTTTAATTTATTTTTTATTTTTTAGAATAATGAAATATTTGATTAAGACACATGTTTTCTTCTTACTCTTTCATGAAAAACTTTAATGTTTCACTTTTAAAAAAATTATTTGTTAATGTTTTGAACATATTAATAAGAAAAGTGCAATTTTTATATGAAATAAATAGTGTATATTCAAATAAAAATTAATCTACCTTACTAAATTAATGACAATAGAAAAATATTAATCTAAACTAATTTAATTTATATCAATCTACCTCGCCGAATTAGTTTGATGAATTTATTTTAAAAAGTCAAAATTAAAGTAATTAAAATTCGGTTTTTCGTTCGGTTTTTTTTGTTGTATAGGCGGTTTTCGGTTTCGGTTCGGTCGGTTTTCAACCATGTTAAAAAAATCGGTTTTTCGACCATTGCTCAGCCCTAGTTAAAATTTACAGTTTGAGGACTTTGATTGTAACTTCTTCATATTTTTGGCCTTGATTGTAAATATATATTCCTAACTAACCCATTATATTAAATAAATCGATCATTAACAATTAGTTTGTGATTCTTTGAAGGAATGGTAACCATGAATCCCATCAGAAAAGAAATTCGGAATAAACAATATCCAAAAAGAGTGTAATTAGAAAAATTGAGAAACAAAAGGTACAAGTCTTGCATTAATGCCATTCAAATGGGCCTATAATTGAGATTTTTTGTTTGTTATTTGTCTCCCTTGGGCTTGCGCTATCATTTGCTGTCTTTTTCCTTTATTATCAGATCACAACCTGGCCTTGTTGCACCCATTATTAATACACCGGCCTTATTATTATTATTATTATTATTATTATTATTATTATTATCATCGATTACTCCCTATTATTGACGCCTTGCGTGCATGTCGGCCCACACAGCCGCCTTTGTCTTCTTCCCATGATACGATACTCCGTAATTATGAGAACTTTAATCAAATACTTCTAAAATTGGTTAATTATGGAATACTTCCACTCCCCTAAAACGCTCGTCGTTCTACTTATTACATATTTTCATTATAATCAGATGAGACTTGATCAGAAATAGCTTTAGTATTTACTTCAATCAGATTAGGTAAGTTCATATCAGATCGAATCTTCAAAAAATTAAAGACGAACGGAAAGCAGCCAAAGTTGCACTCCATTTCATAAGATGCCATTTTTTTGTCAAAGCATAACATAATATAGTTGAAATTACTTGACTATTGGCATTGATTGAGAAAGAATCAAAGGAATAAACTACGGAGTAGTTTCTATGGAGTATCTAGCAATTAGGAGCAAATACTAATTACGGGGTAATAAATAGATCCACGAAATTTGTATAACTATTGTTGGCATTATTTTTTGATAAACAAATATGCTTTTATTGTTTTGATGTTAGTTGATTTGTGTTAAATAGTACTTTAACATCTTGTCTGTGTCATTATGCTGCGGTGCCATGTCGAAGTCTTGGTGTCGGTTAGAGTCTTTTTACTTAGGATTTTTATCTAGATTTTATGGGCTCGTTTTTATAATGATACACACAAAGGGAAGGAATCCTAGTATCATCACATATAATAATACTCAGCTCTTCTTTTTATGGGAAAAATTTTTCATCAAAAAAATTATTTCCCCATTGAAAATGAGAGACTTATTATGAATATCCTTTGGGAAAAAAAAGTTTAAGGGGTATCAAGTTTGTGGAGAAGTATTGAAAGTCCAACAACATAGAGGTAGTTAGCCTGGTCCATTGCTCGACTAACACATGGGGTGGAGAGGGTCCATGTCGCGCGGTCACCGTAGCGTACCCTTAGCATTTCCCTAAAGAAAATATTTTATACTTTTTAAATTGTTCGATTCCTAGTCAAGCCTCAATCCAAACCTTGTCCATTGATAAATCTGTATTATTTGTGATTGGGGAATAATCCTAATATTATGCCTCTATTAGAAAATGAACTTTTGTAATGGCCTGTTTTCTATGTCCTACAATGGATGCTCCTTTTCACAAAATGAAGAATATTTTACCTTCTCCGATCCGTTTATGAATATTTCTCTATTTTTTTTTAGTTTTTCGGTCAAAATTGTGTTGGGCCCCCACTGCAAATAAATGGAAATGGAAAGAAAATAAAAGAGAGCACACAAATTTTTAACGTGGTTCAGCACCTCAAGACCTACTCCACGACCCCCTCTGGGATAAAATCTCACTAGTAATTTTTGCACGGAAAAATTACAAACTCTCTCCAATATTTGACACTAACAACCTAAAATCTAATACACAATTATATAGATTGAAGGATTGTGTTGGGTGATGGAAACCTATATCTCCTCTTTATTTATAGGCTCCAATCCCTCCTCAATTTT